CTTTGCGATTTACCGAAACGGGAACGGAGACTGATGGATTACTGAGGTCGTCATTTTCGCTGTTGTATCACTACCTGTTAGTTTCATCACTGGAGAGTTTCGATTTACGTTTCTGTGATTTACGTTGTACCTTAAATTTAAAAAAAAAACGGTCATTAACTGTTTTTCTGTTATGCTGTAAAGTTTGAAAATCAACGGGTATCTCTGGTTGGTGTTTTGTGTGTACGAAGCTTTCGTAAATGGCAGCCGCCACTTGGTATATATACAACGGCTCACGCACCGGCAGCACCGCTTCGCAGCGATTCGTAGTGCCTCAAGACCGCTTCGTGCCCATTTGTGCCTCAACACCGCTTCATGCCCATTTGTGCATCAACACCGCTTCATGCCCATTTGTGCCTTAAAGCCGCTTCATGTCCATTTGTGCCTCAACACCGCTTCATGCCCATTTGTGCCTCAACACCGCTTCATGCTCATTTGTGCCTTAATGCTGCTTCATGCCCATTTGTGCCTCAACACCGCTTCATGCCCATTTGTGCCTTAATGCCGCTTCATGCCCAGTTGTGCCTCAACACCGCTTCATGCCCATTTGTGCCTTAATGCCGCTTCATGCCCATTTGTGCATCAACACCGCTTCATGCCCATTTGTGCCTTAATGCCGCTTCATGCCCATTTGTGCCTTAATGCCGCTTCATGCCCATTTGTGCCTCAACACCGCTTCATGCCCATTTGTGCCTTAATGCCGCTTCGTGCCCAGTTGTGCCTCAACACCGCTTCATGCCCATTTGTGCCTCAACACCGCTTCATGCCCATTTGTGCCTCAACACCGCTTCATGCCCATTTGTGCCTCAACACCGCTTCATGCCCATTTGTGCCTTAATGCCGCTTCATGCCCATTTGTGCCTCAACACCGCTTCATGCCCATTTGTGCCTCAACACCGCTCCATGCCCATTTGTGCTTTAATGCCGCTTCATGCCCATTTGTGCCTCAACACCGCTTCATGCCCAGTTGTGCCTCAACACCGCTTCATGCCCATTTGTGCCTCAACACCGCTTCATGCCCATTTGTGCCTTAATGCCGCTTCATGCCCATTTGTGCCTCAACACCGCTTCATGCCCATTTGTGCCTCAACACCGCTTCATGCCCATTTGTGCCTCAACACCGCTTCATGCCCATTTGTGCCTCAACACCGCTTCATGCCCATTTGTGCCTCAACACCGCTTCATGCCCATTTGTGCCTCAACACCGCTTCATGCCCATTTGTGCTTCAACACCGCTTCATGCCCATTTGTGCCCCAACTCCCCTAGAACAATAACAACAAACACATCTAGAACAATTACAGAAACAAGAAGGCCCGTCGCGCCAACCTCCCTTCCCCCTCCCTTCGTCCTTCCCTCCCTGATCCACCTTCAACCCATTCCATTCACCCCATCCCCGTGCACCCTTTACCCTCTCCTCTACTCCCTATCCACGAGTAACTATATATTCGGGCGTGGTTATCCACCTTTCTTACGGGCTCACCATAGCCCGTGCTACATGGACACTTCGTCCTGAGTAGCGAAATCTTTAACAACAACATCCACCTTTCTTCTCCCCCTCTCATCCTCTCTTACACCTCCTCCTCTTCCTCCACTTCCTCCTCCTTCTCCTTATCCTCCTTCTCCTTATCCTCCTTCTCCTCCTTCTCCTCTTCCTGCTCATCCTTCTTTGCGTTTGCCGTTACATTGCGTTGGTTCTGAGGATCAACATCCTCGCGGCCCGGTCTCTGACCAGGTCTCCTGGTTGTGGCCTGGTTCTTTGTTATTCTCCTGTTCCTTCACCTTCCCTACCCTCCCTTCACCTGCCCTACCTTCACCTTCCCTTCACCTACCTCCCCTTCACCTGCCCTACCCTCCCTTCACCTCCTCCTCGTGGTATTTACAGTAGTTGATTTATGACCTGATGGTAGCCTAGCCGCAAAGCTTGCCCGAGTGCGGTTTTCCGCGGATAAGCTCTGGGCGAAGCCGCAGGACGCCTCCTATACCTGCGGCGGGACCCTCCCGCAGGCACGCTCATCATGGGGGCCATGCACAGGTACACCCACGAGGAGGGCGAGCACACCCACCAGAGGTGTGTACAAACACACAACCACAAGGGAGAATCTACAGGTACACTCCCCAAGGGGGGGGGGATGGCATGCCCCGGTAAACCCACCAGGGGTGCCAAAACCATTAATGAAGCTACCAAAACTGTTACATAAAAGTAACAAATTTGACAGAAAAGTAACAACTTTACAATTTATCGTACAAATGAAAATTATATCCATAAATATACAATACACTTGTAATATTAATAGCATGTAAACAGCAAAATATCTTATATATATATATATATATATATATATATATATATATATATATATATATATATATATATATATATATATATATATATATATATATATATATATATTACTTAGATGGTGGTCGCTTCCCCATTATTCTCCTTTTTTATATAACAATGCTGCTGTTTGATCTTATGAGAAAGGTGGAATGGTGGTGTGTGTTTAGTACAGTCTGTTTCTTGCAATAGGCTTTCAGCATGCAAGAGAGCTTTAATAGTTTCTGGTGCAAACCTCGATAGATTTTTCACTTTTGTGTTGTTAAACAGAGAACATGTTGTCTCAGGTGCAGGGGAGGAAGGAGGCGTTGACATTATTTATTATTAACATCTTTATTGACAAAATTATTTACAATTTTGCCTAATCTGAGGCGTTGACATGAACGCGGCAGTAAGACGCGTTCTCATCAAGCACTGGACGTGGTCAATACCGGTATACAGATTCACAGAACAACTACCGCTGGCAATGAAACAATAATGGAAAGTTCGAACCAACGCACGGAATGTTCACAGTTGCGCCTTCGTCCGTTCAGTTGAAACAGCAATTGAAAATTAATATAATTATGATTTTTGTTATTGTATTCTAATATGTCCGCGAAGTACTTGACAGCCATCATACGGTACTGTTAAGATGTAATTCTAAATAAATATAACAATTCAGAACTAAATTTCGAAAACAAATGAGATAAGACAAAATTTTTAATGTCAGGCGTCAAGAGTGATGTCAAGAGTGACATCACTGTCAAGGGTGAGGGAAGCCGAGCCCAGAGAAGGGGGAAGGGAACTGTCAGGAGAAAGCGCCAAGCTATTACGACTATGAAGCACTTAGAAGGGATCAGGATAAGTATTTGGGATGGGACGGGAGGAAGGAATGGTGCCCAACCACTTGGATAGTCGGGGATTGAACGCCGACCTGCATGAAGCGAGACCGTCGCTCTATCGTCCAGCCCCAGTGATTGGGAAGAGAACCGAGAAAGGTTTATGATGAACATCTTAATTTGTCAAAAGGTGCACCAGCATCCAGGTTCAAGAATTCTGAATTGAAAGAGCTAAGCTTTGAATCATATTAGTGATAATTCCTCACTTGTTGTAAATAGGAGCTGAATGACCATTCAGAGAGAGGTACTAGTTGGTAAACATGTGTATAGGAAGTGATAGTTTAACTGTAAATGGTTTCAAGAATTCTCCGACTCCCTTAGCCCGGTTCTTCAATAGCACTTGTGGGATTTCGGTAGAAATCCGATTAAGCGCAGGTATTTTAAGGTTAAAAATCATGTAGTGTTGAATGTTAGTAGCGCTGTTTCCGGTCACTTCTCTCCCACGTCCATGTGGAGTAAGGGGTAATGTTAGTGTCCCTTATACACCGGAGAGGGGTTGTACGCTTCCCTCAGTCCTAGACACTTGTGTCATTACAGCCACGGTGCTGGTTGATTGATTGATAAAGATTAAGCCACCCAAGACGTGCACTGGCATGAATAGCCCGTTGAGCCATTACCAGTATCAAGAGCTGATGCTGGATATCTGTGGAGGTGCGACTGCACCCTGAGTGACGGGAAATATCGCCCCTGTCAGCGACGGTGCTCTTCGTCCTCGTCCATATAGTCCAGGGTAAGGGTGGGAGATCACCCCTTACACCGTCCCATAAACCAAGGGTTTGTAAGGTAGGCTGTATAACTACTCGTCCGTCTTCTACAGTAATTAGGAAGGCAAGGGTATACAACCACTACTCTCGCCTACAACCAGAAGGAGGTAGATACTAGTGTTCAACTAATACATCCTCATCAAACCGGACTGGGAAGGTAGCCGGTATCATCTAACGAAATCAGTGACGTCCCAAGCCGGCAGTGGGGATAGGAGCCACACCTGGCTCGCTGTTGGGGCTCTCCGCAATCTGATACCCCTGTTCTGCCGCCCGCTTGCCCGCACGCACGCCCGCACGCTTCCCCCCCCACCCCCCCTCTTCTTCCCTGCCCCCCCCCCTCCCCCCTTCCTCCACATCTCATCCCTTCCCTAGCCCCCATCCCTTGCTCGCTATTGTCTCTAATTCCTCACAACCTCCCACATGTTTGTATCTTCCAGTGTTGCGGGTGGGTGTTGATGTTAGCTTTTGTGTAAGGGAAATAGTTTGTGGGGGTTGGGGGAGCTTTTGTTTGGTTGGGGTTTATAAGAGGTGTGATGTCGGGGGTTGTTTGGGGGCGTGGGAGCAAAGGGATTTTGACCTGCGGTTTGATTTGATTTTGATTGTAGTTGTTTACTTAAATGTTTCGTGGGTGTTTACTGTACATTGTTTAGATTTTGTCTTACAAATACGTTTCTCATACAAAATAAATTTATGCTGGTATTTAGTTTCATGATTTGAACTGATAGCCTGTTAGACGAGGGAGTATATTATTAATCATGGTGGGACAAGTTGGTTGACATTCGTTTGGATAAAACCATTTTAGTCTTCCAGTGTAGATAAGAAAGTTAGTTGAGGAAAATATTAGTGACTACTGTTTGTTAATAGTTGAAGTTAGTGAAGTAACTAACAGTAGCAACAGTAGGTTGTTAGTTAATAGTGAGGTTAGTTATTAGTGTGTGATGCTGAGGTTGTAAACTAACGAGTACTTTTGTTCCTTGCAGATGGTGCGTGGAGGTTGAGGGCTGTGACTAGTGGAGGCGCCGTGCCCGTTCCGCCATGCCCGGAGAGGAGCGGGGAGAGCCGCCTCTGAAGGGATGCCCCCCGGCCCCCCCACACCCCCCTGCTGACCCTCTCGACACCCCCAACCACCCCCAGGAACAGCAACACGTCCCCCCGGAAATGAGTCCCGAGGACGCTCCCTCTACCTCCCCCTTGGCGGGCGAGGAGGGCCCAGGGCCCCTCCCCCAGCAAGGACCCAATGCCACCTCGTCGTCGTCGTCGGCGGCACCATCAGCGTCGCCGCCCGCGACGTTCAACCTGACGTGCATGACGTGCCACACCCACTTCACGTCGGCGGAGCAGTACACGCGCCACCACTGCGTGGCCTCCTCCGCCGCCCAGGACGCCATTAACGAGTCGTCCAGCGACGTGGAGAAGTTCGACGGCAAGATCGTGTACAACCCCGACGGGTCGGCCTACATCATCGACTCAGAGATGAGCGACGACGAGGGCGTGGCGGGTCTGGAGTTGCCGCGGCACGAGGGGTCCATTGTGGACTCCCCGCGCCACCCGCTCTCCTCCACCGCCGCCCCCACCATCCCCACCATCGCTAACGCCATATACGTCACTAAGAACCCCGCCTTCTATACCGCTCTTTACGGTCAAACCTTCACCTCGCTAATCCAGGAAAACAAAGTTCCTGAAGTCCCCATTGTTCACAACTACAGGGTCTTTACCGTTGGTGATAAGGACAGTGAAACTGAGTGTAAAGACAGTGATAGCAAAAATAGTTCCAGTGAGAAAACAAAACTTCCATTATTAGACTACTCGCAAGTTCCAATTAAACCTATATTGATGTGTTTTGTATGTAAGTTGTCTTTTGGATATGTTAGATCTTTTATTGCCCATGCGATGGGCGACCATAGTGTAGTCTTACTGGATGAGGAGAGAGACCTCCTGGCGGCCAAGAACGCCTCGGCCATCATCCAGTGCGCGGGTCGGGAGAAGGAGCCGCGAGTGTCGTTCCTAGAGCCAGTGACGCCCCCAGGTGCCGGCAGCAGCAGCAGCAGCAGTAGCAGCAACAACTGCAGCAGCAGCACCCAGCACGGGGGCGCGCTGGCCACCCTGCTGCCCTCCGGGGCCCCCAGCGGCACCTCCCCCAGCCCGCAACCCTCACCCGCAAGGGCCACGCATAACAACGACGCCCACCACGACTTTATAGATGATGAACGTACCAATGCAGTCAAACGTGAAATGCCTGACTTTTACGAACTTGTCCGTCAGCAGCACCAGCAACAACAGCAGCAGCAGCAACAGCAGCAGCAGCATCTTCATCACCACCACCAGCAGCAGCTCCAGCAGCAGCAGCAACAGCGGTCTGACCCCTTCGCTACCCCTCAGCACCCAGCTGCTGCTCGGACGCCGGACCTGAGCCGCAAGTCGCCCATCTCTGCGCTCGGAGCCAACGGTCGGGCTTCTGTTTCCCCGGTGACTTCGATGTCACCGACGAGCTTCTCGCCGTTGCAGTCCCCCGTTGCGCAGCTGACGGGTACCATAATCGGCGCATGTCCCGAGCACATGAACGGTCGGCCTCAGGGAGTTAATTGCGAGAAGTGTGACCTCATTCTGCAACAATCACGCCAGCTGGGCGGGCAGATGGCTTTCATGCATTCTCGCAATTCCTGCAAGACGCTCAAGTGTCCCAAGTGCAACTGGCACTACAAATACCAGGAGACGCTCGAGATCCACATGAAGGAGAAGCATCCGGAGAACGAGTCTACTTGTATCTACTGCCTCACTAATCAGGCGCACCCGCGTCTCGCTCGAGGAGAGACCTACACCTGCGGCTACAAACCCTACCGCTGTGAGGTGTGCAACTACTCCACTACCACCAAAGGCAACCTCTCAATTCACATGCAGAGCGACAAGCATCTAAACAACATGCAGGAGCTGCAGAATGGAGGCATGCCTACCATGGACGGCTCGATGGGCTCGCAGTCGTTAACATCTCAACAACAGAGCCCATCCGGCAGTATTTACTCCGCGCCCAAAACCCCCACGCCGTCCACCACGCCGGCACCCACGCAGCAGCAGCAGAAGCCCAAACCTGTGTGGCGCTGCGATGTCTGCAACTATGAGACCAATGTTGCACGCAACCTTCGCATCCACATGACTAGCGAGAAGCACACCCACAACATGATGGTGTTGCAGCAGAATGTAAAGCACATGCAACAGCTGAGTGCTTTGCAAGGAGGCGGAGGGGGCGGGGGCCAGTTGGACCCCATGGCTCTGTTGCAGTATGCCGGTAACCCTGCCGCCGCCGCCATGATGGCAAGCTTAGGCGTGGGAGAGAAACCTCACCTGCCAGAGGCAGCTTTAGCAGATCTCGCCTACAACCAAGCGCTGCTTATCCAGATGATGTCCGGTGGCCAGTTACCTGGCGGCCATATGGGTCCTGGGGGCCCTCCGGGACACGGCGGGCACTTGGGTCCTGGGGGCCCTCCAGGACATAGTGATCACCCGGGCCCACACTTCGACTTGGGTCTTAATCCTGAGTCACTGGAGCCGCCGCCAGAGCCTGTGCCGCCCAACCCGCGTCACGCCTTCACCTGCTGCGTCTGCTCTGTCTTCTCCACCGACTCCCTGGAGCAGCTCACTCTCCACTTGCAGCTGGACCGCTCCAAGATCAACGAAAACGAGGTCTTGCTGGTAGTAGCGGGTAATTACATCTGCAAGCTGTGTTCGTACAAGACCAACCTCAAAGCTAACTTCCAGCTGCACTGTAAGACGGACAAACATCTCCAGAAGCTGCAGCACGTCAACCACATCCTGGAAGGCGGGCCCCGCAACGAATGGAAGCTCAAGTACCTGTCCAATACCAACCCGATGCACGTGCGGTGTAACCTGTGCGAGTACTACACCAATAGCGTCCACAAGCTACAGTTGCACGCCGCCCACCAGAGGCACGAGGTCCTCAATGTTCTCTTCCGCCACCTGTGTGTGGCGGAGCACACTATTATGGACGACCGGCGCCTCTACACCTGCACCCTCTGTAACTTTACCACCCGCGCCAAGCTACAGATGCTGCACCACATCCGTTCCATGCGTCACCTGCAGATGGAGCAGCTTCACCAAATCCAGCGGCACGCCGAGGGCAAGGGCGGCACCCAGCAGGACATCGGCGACATCTTCAGAGTTGAAGAAGCTGAAGAAGAAGGAGGACGTCACTCTCCGCCCGGTAAGTCATGATCATTCGTGGATGGTGTTGCGGGCTCCGCCACCTGTGTCATTAATGCCTCGGTCTGTTGTCCCCTTCACTTCCCCCTCATCTGTAATACACTTATTTTAATTTAACCATTCGTTATATTCAGAGTTTGGCAATAATATAAATAGCTAGACTGATTTGCTAATACTATTTTTTTTACAGGAATTTGAAAGCAGTATAGTGTTATGCGTTCACTTTCTTATCCGAAGTTCGGATTACTTTTAAACGGTAAAATAGCATTGGCTAAGTATAGATTAACTCCTTTATAAAATCACATTAGATCATTGGATTTAGTCAATTTAGGATTTGCATAATTTATCTTTAATTCCTTATAAAAGGATTGGTGACCCTTCTAGTTCTGAGGCATACAGTGTAGGACGCATCGAAAGTGTTACAGTAGTATGTTGCCTAATCATCTTGCATAGGCGCATGGCCGCGCACCTCCACCCAGGTAGAGTCACCTCACGCACAAGTACACACACACACACACACACACACACATGCACACACACACACACACATAAACGAACCCCAAGGCCGATGTTACTTGAGTGAATCGTTTATTTCAAGAGAGTGTGTGTGCCGCAGGATCTCATCGTGTGTATGTGTGAAGGAGCTGAGACTGTGAGAATCCTGCCGGAGGAGTTGGTGTACTTACCTATCTGATGTTATCCTGTTTTTGTGAGCCTCCGGTGTGAGTGTCGGAATTATATCCACTCCCAGATCCTTCTCTCTTTCTCATTCCTGTAGCTGCCTTCTCCGTATGGTGTGTGTGTGTGTGTGTGTCTGTGTGTGTGTGTATGTGTGTGTGTGTGTGTGTGTGTGTGTGTGTGTGTGTGTGTGTGTGTGTGTGTGTGTGTGTGTGTGTGAGTGAGTGAGAGAGAGATGTAACTGTGGCATGTCTGACATCTTGTACATAAGTGTGCGAGGATACAACTAGCTTTGCTCCTCATGTAACAAGTGTGCCAGTCACGGCACTTTTTATTATTTGTGAAGTGCCAGGCAATGAACGAAGCAGTGCCTGGCGATATTTACGGCATCTTGAGAATGCCACCCCAACACCTGGCTTGATGAAGTACCGCCCCTCCTCCCAACTTTTCTTATTTGGAAGTGTGTGTGTATTTACTATTTGTGTCTGCAGAATCGAGATATTAGCTCTTGGACCCCGCTTTTCTAACCCCATCTATTATTCCTCTATTATATCTACTATATATATCTTATATCTACTCTCTAACACACATGCGCGCGCGCGCACACACACACACACACACACACACACACACACACACACACACACACACACACACACACACACACACACACACACACAGGAAGCAGCCAGTAGCATCTAACTCCCAGGTACCTATTTACTGTTAGGTGAACAGAGGCATCAGGGGTGAAAGAAACTTTGCCCACTTGTTTCCGCCTCGGCCGGAATCGAACCCGGGTCCTTTTAGGACTACGACTCCCGAGCACCCCAATGTGTGTGTGTGTGTGTGTGTGTGTGTGTGTGTGTGTGTGTGTGTGTGTGTGTGTGTGTGTGTGTGCACGCGCGCACGCGTGTGGTATAAT